ACCATGTTTGCGATTTGTGAAACCTTTTTCTGATTTGTGAAACTTCACTTAACAGACCACTGCAGAAGATCTTTCCTTCCTTGAGCCATCACCATTTGCAAGGAGACGCTTTTACCATTACATTCGAGAAGAGTTTCTAAAAGTCTGTGCAGCATCTGAGGAGAATGAGGAGGGTAGCTGATTATCTGGACTGACGACTGACTCTAAACTGTTAAATAGCATTTTCCCTCAATGCTATTTAACTGATCAACAACATTCTCAAATTTCAATACCCTATTAAAACCTAATTCCGTTTTAATGGGCACGTTCTTTTATTTCCAATTTTGACATCCAATGATTCACTTTGTAATGATCTCGCTGTGGTGTCTTGTACCAAAACTAAAAATCAGCCAAACTCCTTTCACACAAGTCAGGATTAATTAGTTCTTCCTTTATTTCCATGTACAATGGAGTGAAACTGTCAACACACAAACAACTCAGGATGAGCTCAGAGCAGCTAACAGAAGTGTTTTACATTCAGTTACATACATTAGAAGTACAACTGATGCAACAGCTACCTCAGAATGCTATGAGCTGCAATGCTACATAACGACCTAAGAAATCTTAGCAGCCTGCTAGTTAGCAATGACGTAGCACATAATTAAATCGCCCGCAGGTATTTCCAAAACTAATTCAATAAACAAGTTACTTCTTTTATCATATGTTAACATAAAGGCTCGTTTTGAAGTATAAGCTGCTACTTAGAGGCATTGCTTCGAAGAACTCGACCTGGAATGCGGCGTTCATAACAGACACGTGTTCATCTGCTCTACCGCTAGCAAACAACCGTACTGATTAAATAACATAAAAATTAAGCAGTTCCCTAAAAGTCCAACATATGGCAGCAATGTGCTATGCAAAACAAAACACCCACAGTTTACAGCACACACTTCCTGCAAAAGAGCCCCCTGGTGGTTGAAGAAAAATACACATATAAACCGGAAAATACAATATATGGAAAAAAAAAATCTGAATGCTCTCTGGTATTGTTCAGGGGGCCGGACCAAATGTGGAGACGGGCCAGATCCGGCCCGCGGGCCGTAGTTTGGGGACCCCGGCTATATATCCTACGATATGTTAGTCTCCTTTCCTTCTTAATTTATAACGCTGATAATTATCCCTGTCGCGTCTAAAAATGCATTGATAAAATACATAGTGAAGGTTTCATTATTACTCAATAATTACCGGGCGTTGTGGGAGAAAGTAAGAAAAGAACGAGGTTTATTTGCGTGACGTCGCAGAAGCCACTCAAACTGACTAAAAGCGCTGACATGGCACGTTACCGCGTTCAGTGGGTGTCTCGACTTCTCTTCCTCTCTGGTGCTGGTTCTACTATCAATCCTACATCGTGGCACTGCGCATGCTCAGCCCGATAATAGAACACACGCTTTGTACACAACAGACAGCTGTCTTGACGCACAAAGGTTGGAAAAAGTGACGTGGCAGCACAGATCGTCATAACCGGTTGTCATTATGACACATTAAATGTTGGTGACGTAGAATGTGACTAGTTTACAAAACACACTGGATTCATTTGCCAGGACCGAGCAAAGCAAGAAAGATTTTTATTAAGTAGGTGGGTAAAATGGATCCGTTACTGCTTCTTAGAAGATGCTCAAGATATGAGGAGGAGATCGAAAAGCTGAGAGAAGCTTTATATAATCAGGAGCTTGAGGCAGAAGAGAGAGAAAAAGAACTCCGGAGTGAGCTTTCAGATGAAACTGCTAAATCGAAACACAAAATAGCAATACTAACAACACTGAATGATCAAATTATGGAATCTGAAGAAGAAAGAAGAAAGATCCAATGCGATCTGACAGAAGAAAATCGTTTACTGAAAGCCGAAGTCACTAGGCTGAAGTCGAAGGAAACAGCTTTGATAGATGAATGTACGATTTTAAGAAACGCACAAGAGAGTTCTGAGAAAAAGAATTTGTACTTGGAGGAGGAAAACAGAAAACTTAATGCTCAAATAAAACAAAAAAATCGCATGATTGGTGAAATGTTTGACCTCACAAAGTCTCTAAGAGATTCAAATAGGGAGACAAAACAGCAAGAACAAATACTGCTGGAGAAAGTTGAAAAAACTATAAAAGTTGAAAACCAACAGAAACCTAAAATCTTTACATATGAAAAATCAACTCAAACGGAAAATTTGAGCAGTGGTCCTAAAAAAAATTTGTTGGCAAAACCTTTTGCCAACAAATCTTCACAGACTGAGCATTTCATTTCGGAATCAATGGAGAAATCGACTCAGACCGAATGTGCGACTTATAAACTAAAGGAGTTTCAGCCTCCATGTGAAACATCATCTCAAACACAAACTTTAGAAAGCAAATGTAGGCATGTAAGGACTTCTACTAGGGATACAACTTCAGCTAAAACTTTGACGGATCAATCTAAGCAGCCTAAATCTTTTGCTGAGAAATCAAGAGACTTGGAAACTTGTACTAAATCTAAGAGTTGGTGGGGTATGTGTGTGGATGGATTAATGTTTGCAGGTAAATACACCCTGCTAGGAATTTTACAAGCAGCAATAACTACAAAAGTTTATGAAATGGCTGCAATGTGCTATTTTACAGAATCAGACATTCCTTTCTGAGAAATTGTTCATAAAATACCAATGCACCGTCATATAATATGAATATAATATAAATAGTTCTCAATGTGGCATGGTACTCTCTAGTGGGGAAGCTGGTGTGTGAGACTGAAAGGTTTTAGCTAGAAGTAGTTGGACTCACCTCGACGCACTTCTCTGGCTCTGGCAACACTCGTTTTGAGAGAGATTGGACACTCTTTCACACTGGAGTTGCCATTGCTGAGAGGCACAGTGCAGGAGTGGGCATACTTGTAGCTTCCCCATCTTGGTAAATGTACTTTGGAGTTCAAACGGTGAAAAACACGGCAGGGTCCGTCCTCCTACGTGAGGGTGGATGAGTTTGGCTGTTTGTACAAACAGNCTGATGGAAACGCTCCAACGCTCCTTGACTTTCTGCATGGTAAGCCGTAGATCTGTTGTGTTCAACACAAAGCTGTTTTAGCACCTGACCAAAAAGACGTGAAGAGAAATTTGTCCCTTGGTCCGACTGAACAGTCAGAGGAATACCAAATACAGAGATGAACTGAGAAAGAGCACGCACCACATATTTTGCTGTTATTGTGCGTAACGGGTAAGCAGCCGGATATCGAGTACTTTGACACATAACCGTCAATAAATAGCAAGTCCCACATCGCGACCTTGGCAAAGGACCTACACAATCAACAATTAGGTGCTCAAACGGTTCTGTTGCAACAGGGATAGGTAATAAAGGAGTGGGTTTCAAAGATTGGTTAGGCTTTACAGTTAGCTGACAGACATGACATGTCCTAACATAGGAGGAAATATCCCTCTTCCAACGAGGCAAAATAAATAAATAAAAAAATATGTAAGGACTCGGTCATATGTTTTTTAGCGTGCCCAGATTCATCATGTGCTACTTTCAACAGTGTCTCACGGTATTTAGAGGGAACTACCACTTGAAAAACAGCATGTTCAACAGAACCAAAATGCGGCACCCATTTTCTCATTAGCACCGAGCCTTTCATCTTGTGTTTTCTTCTCATTGTCCATCTGAGAGCGCAACATAGCTCGAGTCACAGCACAAGCTGTGAAAAAGTTGGAAAATTCACGCTCACTCTCCTCTTGTCGACTCAACTTTTGTGACACCGGCTTACTACCACCTGAGACTGGGGGTAATTCATCTGTCCACATGCTGGAACCCTCTATATATCCTACGATGTGTTAGTCTCTTTTCCTTCTACATTTATAACGCTGATAATTATCCCTGTCGAGTCTAAAAATTCATTGATAAAATACATAGTGAAGGTTTTATTGTTGTTCAATAATTACCGGGCGTTGTGGGAGAAAGTAAGAAAAGAACGAGGTTTATTTGCGTGACGTCGCAGAAGCCATTCAAACTGACTAAAAGCGCTGACATGGCACGTTACCGGGTTCAGTGGGTGTCTCGACTTCTCTTCCTCTCTGGTACTGGTTCTACTATCAATCCTACATCGTGGCACTGCGCATGCTCAGTCCGATAATAGAACACACGTTTTGTACATAACAGACAGCTGTCTTGACGCACAAAGGTTGGAAAAAATGACGTGGCAGCACAGATCGTCATAACCGGTTGTCATTATGACACATTAAATGTTGGTGACGTATGCGACTAGTTTACAAAACACACTGGATTAATTTGCCAGGACCAAGCAAAGCAAGAAAGATTTTTATTAAGTAGGTGGGTAAAATGGATCCGTTACTGCTTCTTAGAAGATGCTCAAAATATGAGCAGGAGATCGAAAAGCTCAGAGAAGCAAATTATAATCTGGAGCTTGAGGCAGAAGAGAGAGAAAAAGAACTCCGGAGTGAGCTTTCAGATGAAACTGCTAAATCGAAACACAAAATAGCAATACTAACAACACTGAATGATCAAATTATGGAATCTGAAGAAGAAAGAAGAAAGATCCAATGCGATCTGACAGAAGAAAATCTTGCACTGAAAGCCGAAGTCGCTAGGCTGAAGACGAAGACAACAGCATTGGTAGATGAATGTATGATTTCAAGAAACGCAGAAGATCTTTCAGGAAAAAAAATTTTGAACTTGGAGGAGGAAAACAGAAAACTTAATGCTCAATTAAAACAAAACAAACGCATGATGGGTGAAATGTCTGAAATAATAGAGCACATGTGTCAAACTCAAGGCCCACGGGCCAGATGTGGCCCGCCATGTCATTTTATGTGGCCCGCGAGAGCTTAAGTTTTGTGTCTAAAAATAAAAACCGAAAAATAAATTAAGAGCGTGCTTTGACCAAAAACTACATTTCCCACAATGCCTTTCTACGCCGTTACTACGGTAACCGCGGCAGTTTCCACATCCATGCCAACAGTTGAGATGAGTTGAGATATAAATAAAGATCCCAAAATGTTCAGAAAGAGAAAAGTTGATGCAGACGGAAGATTGTTTCAAGAAAGATGGGAAGGCGAATACTTGTTTGTGCTTCAAGGAGAAAGACCGGTATGTCTTTTGTGTTACGAGGCGGTGTCGGTTGTCAAAGAGTACAATCTGCGTCGACATTTTGACACCAAACACGGAGCTAAGTACGCTCAAGCTAGCCTTCAAGAAAAGCAACAAATTGCCCAAGAATTAAAAGGCAAACTGCGGTCGCAGCAGAGTTTGTTCACGAAATCCACAGCCAAAAACGAGGCGGCAGTGAAAGCTAGCTTCATTGTGGCTAAAGAAATCGCCCACGCTTCCAAGTCTTTTTCAGATGGAGCGTTTTTGAAGCAGTGCATGCTGAAGGTCTGTGAGCAGGTGTGTCCCGACCAGTTACAGACTTTTAAAAATGTCAGTTTATCAAGAAACACCATTGCGAACCGAGTGAAGGAACTAGCAGAAAATCTTACAACACAGCTGGCCGAGGAGACACGCAGCTACACAGCTTTTTCATTAGCTGTTGATGAAAGCACAGATAACACAGACACAGCGCAGTTATCAATTTTTATTAGAGGCGTAAAGTCGGACCTCTCTATCACTGAGGAGCTGTTGGATGTGACTGCAATGCATGGGACCACGACGGGACAGGACATTTTTGATGCGGTGGAGAAGTCCGTAAGTAAAAATGCATTGCAGTGGGAAAACTTGGTGGGCTTAACTACAGACGGTGCACCGGCAATGTGTGGAGGAAAAGTGGGCTTGGTTGGACTAATGAAGAGGAAAATGCAAAAAATGAACTGTCACACGCCTCTGATAACGTATCATTGCATTATCCATCAAGAAGCTTTATGTGGGAAGGTGCTGGGGATGGAGGACATTGTGACCACAGTCATGAAAACAGTGAACTTCATTCGGGCACGTGGCCTGAATCACCGTCAGTTCCAGCAGTTTTTGCTGGAGATGGGCTCGGAACACGGGGATGTGCCGTACCATACAGAAGTGCGGTGGCTGAGTAGGAGCAAAGTCCTCAAGCGATTTTTTGAGCTCAGGGAAGACATTGCTCTTTTTATGCAGAGTAAAGGAAAACTCATGTCTGAACTATCAGATCCAAAGTGGCTGTGTGACTTTGCTGTGTTGTGTGACATAACCGACCATCTCGCCCAGCTGAATCAGAAGCTACAGGGACGCAAACAAGTCATCACGCAGATGTCCGACACGATCATGGCTTTCCAGCGTAAATTGGACTTATGGATGTGGCAAGTGAAACAGGACAATCTTGTCCACTTTCCTGTTTGTCAGAGCATGTCAGCCTCGTTTCCCGAGACTTTTTCATGTGCTCAGCTAGCTACCAAACTGAGCTAGTTAAAGACTGAGTTTGAGCGGCGCTTCTCTGACTTCAGAGCGCAACAGTCTGGCTTTGACATCTTTGCCAATCCTTTCACCACCGATGTCTGCACTGCACCCCAACACCTTCAGATGGAGCTAATTGAGCTTCAAAGCGACAGTGGCCTGAAAGCAAAGTTCCAGGATGCTGCAATCCAGGACTTTTACCGTCTGATGCCCCCTGGTTTGATGCCACAGCTTCGACTTCATGCTGCCCGTGTTCTGTCCATGTTTGGAAGCACCTATCTGTGCGAACAGTTTTTTCCATAATGAATCTGAACAAAAACCAGCACAGATCACACCTCACGGATGACAACCTCCATGCTGTTCTACGCATTGCCTCAGCACAGGACCTAAAGCCAGACATTGACACACTGGCAACGGGAAAACGGTGTCAGACATCTGGTCAGAAAAACACAGGTTAGCATTTTCTTTTTGAAACTTAATTAAAATATAATAAAATGTAATTCAACCAAGAAGAACAGTTAAACTGTGTGCAATTTAATGACTGTGCTTGCATTTTGTTTTGTGTTTATCATTTTCAGAACATGATCGATAGTCGAGAGAGAATCCACTTGGTGTGTTCAAGGACAGGCAGCATCTCCTCATCAAAGACTATCCAAAAAACTTGAGTAATATAGTTGTGAACTGAGTCAACCTTTATTTTGGTATTTTTAGCTGATTACATATTATTTATGTGTAGCTGCTGTTGTAATTAGTTAATGTTTGCAGGTCTTATGTGTGTATGCAGACAAATTGTTGTCATCAAACCATCAGTTGGATGCAAGGCTGTGTGTAGCCTTTTTTTGTAAAATGCTACATGTGTCATACATGTTCTTTGCAGCTCAGTTTTATGTTATTTTTCTTTATTCACTTGGACAGTTTGATCCTTCATTAATGGAGTTATGTGGGTTTTCATAAGCTGACAAAATTTAAAAGGATTTATGTTAGAGCAACAAGCAAACATATGTTTTCTATGCAACTGTAATTGTCACATGAATAAGTTATAATAAATAATGAGGTATTTAACATTAAGGTATAGTTACATTTATTTTACATTACATTCGATTACATTTAGTTACATTTATAAGATACATCTGGCCCTTTAAGGACAGCCATTATGCTGATGTGGCCCTCGGTGAAAATGAGTTTGACACCCCTGTAATAGAGTATCTCAGAGATTCAAATAGGGAGATAAAACAACAGGAACAAATACTGTCTGAAAAAGTTGAAAAAACTATAAAAGTTGAAAACCAACAGCAACCTAAAATGTTTACATCTGAAAAATCAACTCAAACGGAAAATTTGAACAGTGGTTGTGAGCAGCCAAAAATTGTTGCCAACAAATCTACACAGACTGAGCATTTTATTTCGGAATCAATGGAAAAATCAACTCAGACTGAATGTGCAACTTATAAACTAAAGGAGCTTCAGACTCCATGTAACACATCATCTCAAACACAAACTTTAGAAAGCAAATGTAGGCATGTAAGGACTTCTACTAGGGATACGACGTCAGCTAAAACTTTGACGGATGAATCTAAGCAGCCTAAATCTTTTGCTGAGAAATCAAGAGACTTGGAAACTTCTACTAAATCTAAGAGTTGGTGGGGTACGTGTGTGGATGGATTAATGTTTGCAGTTAAATACACCCTGCTAGATTTAGATTTAAATCTTTATTGTCATTGTCCCAAGAACAACGAAATTTAAAAAAAGTGCCGTCAGTCAGTGCATATGCTCACACTTTACATATACTGTAAGAAATACATAACAAGTAAAAAAAACAACAACTAATAAATAAGAATAACCACATTCTCACACACATCATTCATGACGATGACACCCTGCTAGGAATTTTACAAGCAGCAATAACTACAAAAGTTTATGAAGTGGCTGCAATGTGCTATTTTACAGAATCAGATATTTCCTTCTGAGGAATTGTTCATAAAATACTAATGCACCGTCATAATATGAATATAATATAAATAGTTCTCAATGTGACATGGCAGCGCTCTAGTGGGGAAGCTGGTGTGTGAGACTGAAAGATTTTAGCTAGAAGTAGTTGGACTCACCTCGACGCACTTCTCTGGCTCTGGCAACACTCGTTTTGAGAGAGATTGGACACTCTTTCACACTGGAGTTGCCATTGCTGAGAGGCACAGTGCAGGAGTGGGCATACTTGTTGCTACCCCATCTGGTAAATGCACTTTGGAGTTCAAACGTTGAACAACACGGCAGGGTCCCTCCTCCTACTTGAGGGAGGATGAGTTTGGCTGTTTGTGCAAACAGTAGTTCAGATTACTCAATTGTTTAGGAGTCCTTGGAGAGAAACTTCCATGTTGTACTGGGGAACTTCAACATTCAGTGAGACCTAGATGGATATTGTTGACTTCGAGGTGATTCTGGTCCACAATCTGGTGTCTTGGCCAGATGGTTCACCATCCTCCACTCGGGGCATTGTGTGTCATTGGACAGAATTCTGTGAAGAACTCTTCAATTCCAGCAGCACGTCTTAAACTGAGGAAGCTGAGAGTGAGGACCTTGGGTCACGCTTTCTAATCCCTGGTGCAGATGTCACTGAGGTGGGTAAAAAGTACCACAACGCAAGGCCCTGTCGATTGATGAGATTTTCCTGGAGTTCCTGAAAGTTCTTGATGTTGTGGGGTTGTGTTAGTTGATACAACTTTGCAATATTGTGTGAACAACGGGGACAGTTCCCCTGAATTGACAAACCAGGTGCTGGACCCCCTATTCCAAAAAGGGGGACCAAAGAGTGTGTTCCAACTACTGGGGGATCACACTCTGAAGCCTCCCTGGTAAGGTCTTTTCAAGGGTTCTGGAAAGGAGGATCCATCAGATAGTCAGACTTGGATTCTGGAAGAGCAGTGCAATTTTTGTCCCAGTCATGGAACACTGGACCAGCTTTACACTCTCAGCAGGGTTCTAGAGGGTGCATAGGAGTTCTCACCCAAACACTCTACGCTTGGATGAGAATCCGTTTGACATTGTCCCTTTGTGAATCCTCTGGGGGCTGCTCTGGGAATGTAGGGTACTAGGCCCTTTGAAATGGGCTTTTAGATCCCTTTATAACCAGTGATAAAGCTTGGTCTGCATTACCAGCAGTAAGTCGGGCTCATTTCCAGTGAGAGTTGGACTCTGCCTAGGTTGCCCTTTGTTACAGATTCTGTTCTAGGTGCAGCCAAGGTATTGAGGGAATCTGATTTGGTGGCCTTAGGCTCATGTCTCTGCTTTTTGCAAATGATGTGGTCCTACTGGCATCATTAAGTCGTGATCTACAATTCTCACTGGAGGAGTTTGCAGCTGAGTGTGAAGTGACTGGGATGAGGATCAGAGCCTCCAAATCCAGTATCACACAGGGCGTTGCGTTGTCAGTGTCAGTCTTACACACACACTTCCTCTAGCAAGATGCAGTGCCATGTCTGAGAAACTGATAATGATTAAAAACGCTTTGCGTCACTCGCTTATGCATCAACATAACCGTCAGCCATCAGAGAGCTTATTACACTGTAAAATTCAGTTTCTATTTAAAGCGGAACTCACAAATACACTCAAGGGGGATACGTCACAGGCATCAGGTAAAATATTTTACATCAGTTATATTGACACAAAAATAAATAGTCAACAACTCAGTATGAAATTTTGTTGACTTTTAGCAACAATGATTTATTACAAAAACTACAAACTAAGAAAATAATAATAGTTATCCTGATAAATAAATCAGTAACCAAAAATACTTAAAAAATAAGTTTAGGTTAGATTTAATTCACTCAGTTCATGTCAGTAAAGAAACCGAAATGGTTAAATGTCAAAAGAGTTCCATATCCTGGGAGAATTTCTCCATTTCAATCCAAAGTCCAAATCCAAAAGGAAAAATCCAAAGCGTCAAAGCCCCCTCCTCAAAAAAAAAAAAAAAGAAAAAAAGAGTGGTACCACCAAAAATCCCCAAAAAGAAGCGTAAAGTCCAGACCTCGGTGGCGTCTTCTCGCACCGTCGGCGTCCTCTTGCCAATTGGTGGCCTCTTGCACCATGCGGCGTTTCCTGGGTGCAAGCTCCAGGGGCAGATCTAGAAAAATATTTATGGGGTGGCAAGAGGGGGGCAGGGATTTTTTCCAGGGCTGGCAGCATATGCCAGTATATATATAAAATGTCGCATTCTCACATTTAGCTTACACAGACATTGGACTTAATTTACTTGTTGCAAAATATTGTTTTTAACTTGTTTCAAAATAAGCTTCATGTAGCACTGAGGATTATATATAATTTCTTAATATAATATAGTTCATTATTTTTCTGTCTTTCATACTCCTGCCAATTGATATGCATTACCGGATTGGACATCGCCTATTAGTCACTATGTGATTCATTGAGTTATGCCCAGAAAACCATTTTATCCCAATGCAGGACGAGCAGAAATCTGTCACAAATATATTCGTAGCGTCATCATTTGTTATGACTTAAAATAAAGAGGAGAAAACTGATGTTTCACAAATTCTCCGTGATACAAATCTATAAACAATTTTGTTTCTGTTAGTTCTGTCAAGATCCAAGAAGGGGCAAATTTCTCTTACATATTGGTCAATCGTTTTATTTTAAATATGCTGTAGGAGCCGTAGTTTGATGATTAGTTCAGTTTTAGTCGCTTATTGAACTTTTAGGAATTGCAGCGGCTGCAGTGCGCCACAATAAAGGTACAACAAAGCTGATAAACAGGTGAAGAACCAAACACCACTTCTATTCTGCCTTTTCTTGCTGCGTATCGGCTTTACCCGTTGCCATGGCAACCGACAGACAACAGCTCAACGAGCAGTTAGAGCAGAGATTACCGACCAGGGGAATCAACACCAAAAAACAAACATTTTCCACACAAAAAAGTAGCAAAAACACCAAAACAGAACATTCAGTCCAGGCACGTGCAGGGGGGGCCTGGGTATGCTTGAGCACCGGCCCTTTTTGACATTAGGCTGTTGTGCTATTAGCTAGCTGCTAGCTAAGACTTTGCTAGCAAAGCTAGATAACTAAAAGCTTCTTCACACTTTCCAGTTTTATGCTTTTGTATTTTAAAAAGTGAATAATTAAGCCCTGTGTGACCTAACCTTAACCTTGTTATTATTCTTTCCTCCTTCCTATTCCTTCTTCCTTTTCTTTTCTTTCCTACAGCCAGCTGAATTTTATAATACCACCTTCCTTTTAACCCTTTATCCCACCTTCTCTGCCATATTTTCATCAGCTCTTCTTTGGCTTTACTTTTCCCTTCCGATTTACTCATCCTAACTGCAAAACTAATAGGATCATGTGTTGCCTTCTTTGCCGTTTTATCAGCCTTCTCGTTTCCTACCAACCCTATATGTGCTGGAACCCACACAAATGTAACTACTAATCCCAAATTTTGTATTCTAAATAGATT